CGAGGCGTAGCTGGCAAGCGGCAGAGACGGAGCAGGCCGACCACCAGCTGGCCCAGCCCAAGGGAGGTAAGGCACCCGCCGGAAAAGGGGGAAAAAATGGCGGACAAAAAAAATGGCGGACAGCCTTGCTTGGCGACCCCCGTGAAATGGTCGATCGACCCCAAATGGGGTCCCGACCCACAGGTTGAGAACCACTGGTATAGGGTTTCCTGCCTGAGCAGGGGGTTGGATTAGATGACCTCCAAGGTCCCTTCCAACATTATTATTATTATTACAATTATTATAATTATAATTATTATTATAATTATTATAATTATAATTATTATTATTATTATGTGTGGCTGTGCCTGCCTTTTCTGAAATCGACAATGATCTCTGGTTTTTCCGGCATTTAAAACTAGGCTGTTTTCCTCACACCAGTTCACCAACCCCTCAACCTCCTTGCGGTAAGCTTGCACATTCAGGCTAAATGTTAGGAACCTTTAAAAATACGACTGGTCAGTCAGTGAAACAGGCTGCCACATGTACTGGGGGAGATTTTCTGTGGAGGTTTCCACACAGAAATTCAGTGAGCGTCCATCCAAGCTGCTGTCTATATGGAGATCGTCAATCACCCTGATCATGGGTGCTTTTTTTTTTTTCTTCAAAAGGCAACTGGACTTCGTTTTTCCTTGAAGACGTTTCGCTTCTCATCCAAGAAGCTTCTTCAGTTCTGACAGCTCAGTCAGCTCAGTCAGCACTGAGGAAGCTTCTTGGATGCGAAGCGAAACGTTTTCAAGGAAAACGAAGCCCAGTTTCCTTTTGAAAGTAGCACCTTTGGGACATCCAAGCTGCTGTAGTGAATCTTGCACTGAGCAGGGGGTGGGATAGATGTCCTTTAAGTTGCCATTTCTGCGCGGGTGCCAGCACGGGGAAAGGTTACGGTGGCTGTTGGTTCTGAGGCTGACTCTTCTGACTCTGCTCTCTTGCAGGGCTCTCCACCCTGGTGGTCTTGTCCACAGGGATGGGAAAATCTCTCTGCTACCAGCTGCCCGCCTATCTGTACGGCAAACGGTCCCCGTGCGTCACCTTGGTGATCTCTCCCTTGGTGTCCCTGATGGATGATCAGGTAAGCTGGAAGAGGCTCTTGGACTGAGAGCGTGGTGTGTGTATGTGTGTGGGGGGGGTTTTCTAGGCTGGCAGGACAACCCGCCGTGGCCAACTGACCGAGGGACAGCCTGCTGCGGGACAATTCCACAATTCGGTTTAAGCGTTTAAAATTATTAGAAAATTATTTTAACTTTTGCCCTTCACGTTTCATTCTGTCCCTCTTTGTGGCATCCTTTCTTTGATGATTCCAGTCCACCGTTTGTTCGATATAAAGCTTCCTCCTTCCCTTATGTATTCAAGATGGACAGTGATTAATATTTACATGTTATTTATAGGTAAGGGTGTAGGTCTATACATATGGTGTATATAGTATGTTTTAGATGTGTGTTATGTATGTGTACACAAGGAACTAAATTTCATGTTTAATGTGTGCCATTGTGCCCACAGGAAAAAATGACAATAAAGGTTTTCTCTCTCTCTCTCTTTCTATCTATTTCTCTAATCTATCTATCTCTATCTGTCTGTCTATCATATCAATCAATCTATCATATATCAATCTATCATATCTATCATATAAATCTATCATATCAATCATATCTATCATCTATCTGTATATCATATCAATCATATCTATCATAATCATATCTATCAAAATCTAATAAAATCAAAATCAAATCAAATCAAAATATCAATCTATCATATCTATCATATATCAATCTATCATATCAATCTATCATTATCATATGTATCATATCTATCTATCTATCTATCTGTATCTATCATATCAATCTATCATATATCAATCTATCACATCAATCATTATCTGTCTGTCTGTCTGTCTGTCTATATCTATCTATCCATCCATCCCATCCATCCATCCATCCATCCATCCATCCCTATCTATCTATCTATCTATCTATCTATCTATCTATCTATCTATCTATCTATCTATCTATCTATCTATCTATCTATCTATCTATCATATCAATCTATCATATCAATCTATCATATATCAATCTATCATATCAATCATTATCTGTCCGTCCGTCCGTCCGTCCGTCCGTCCGTCCGTCTATCTATCTATCTATCTATCTATCTATCTATCTATCTATCTATCTATCTATCTATCTATCTATCTATCTATCTATCTATCTATCTATCTATCTATCTATCTATCTATCTATCTATCTATCTATCATATCAATCTATCATATCAATCTATCATATATCAATCTATCATATCAATCATTATCCGTCCGTCCGTCTATCTATCTATCTATCTATCTATCTATCTATCTATCTATCTATCTATCTATCTATCTATCTATCTATCTATCTATCTATCATATCAATCTATCATATATCAATCTATCATATCAATCTATCATATATCAATCTATCATATCAATCATTATCCGTCCGTCATCTATCTATCTATCTATCTATCTATCTATCTATCTATCTATCTATCTATCTATCTATCTATCTATCTATCTATCTATCTATCTATCTGTAACTCTTGTCCTACGGTGAGCTGGGCGTGCTAAGTTGTCCTAGACACACACACACACACACACTGAACGCAGCCTGCCACCTATCCTGGCACAGATAGGGTGGGCCAATGCCAAAATGGACAATTCAGCATTTTTTGTGGAGCAGAAATTACAGCCGTAGGGAAAGCCGTGGGGACGTGGCTCCTGTTCGCTGGCTGGGGAGGGGGCCGGTAGCCCCCATGTCTGCCTAAGTCTGAGTGAGGCGCGCTCTGTGTTTCTTGCAGGTCTCCGGCCTCCCTCAGCGCCTGAAAGCGGCCTGCGTCCACTCCAACATGTCGAAGGCTCAGAGGGAGGCTGCCATGGAGCGGGTGAGCCAGCTGCCTGGGGGCGAAGGCGCCTCGGTGTAACCGAGGACTGCCTTAAACTAGGACCCTCCGGATAGTACTGCCCTGCAGAGCCCATAATTCCCATGCAATCTAAGAATTGTGGGATTTGTGGTCTCGGTTGGGGTAGGGTCAGATGTGTTTGGCTCCTGCCCGCCTCCAGTTTTGAACTTAACACAGTAAAGACAGGTACTCCTTGATTTACGACCACAAGCGAGTCCAAATTTTCTGTTGCTAAGCGAGACAGTTGTTACGTGCCCCGTTTTATGACTTTTCTTGCTGAAGTTGTTAAGTGAATTACTGCAGTTGTTAAGGAAGGAAGGGGGAAAACAAGAATAACAGAGTTGGAAGGGACTTTGGAGGTCATCTAGTCCAACCCCCTGCTCAGGCAGGAAACCTAACACCATTTCAGACAAATGGCTGTCCAGTCTCTTCTTAAATACTTCCAGTGTTGGAGAAGGGAGGGAGGGAGGGAAGGAAGGAAGGAAGGAAAGAAGGAAGGAAAAAAAAGAATAACAGAGTTGGGAGGGACCTTGGAGGTCATCTAGTCCAACCCCCTGCTCAGGCAGGAAACCCTATATACCATTTCAGACAAATGGCTGTCCAGTCTCTTCTTAAATACTTCCGGTGTTGGAGAAGGGAGGGAGGAAAGGAAGGAAAGAAGAAAAGGAAGGAAGGAAGGAAGGAAGGAAGGAAGGAAGGAAGGAAGGAAGGAAGGAAGGAAAAGAATAACAGAGTTGGGAGGGACCTTGGAGGTCATCTAGTCCAACCCCCTGCTCCGGCAGGAAACCTTACACCATTTCAGACAAATGGCTGTCCAGTCTCTTCTTAAATACTTCCAGTGTTAGAGAAGGGAGGGAGGGAAGGAAGGAAAGAAGAAAAGGAAGGAAGGAAGGAAGGAAGGAAGGAAGGAAGGAAGGAAAAGAATAACAGAGTTGGGAGGGACCTTAAAGGTCATCTGGTCCAACCCCCTGCTCAGGCAGGAAACCCTATATACCATTTCAGACAAATGGCTGTTCGGTCTCTTCTTAAAAGCCTCCAGTGTTGGAGCGTCCACAGCTTAAAATAATTTGTTTAACGGCCGTTCAAAATTGCAACTGAAAAAAAAATGACTTTACGGCCGCTTTTCACCTTGCACCGTCGCGACCTCCCCAGTGGTCACGTGATCAAAATCCAGCCGGTTGGCAACGGGTTCCTATTTATGACGGCTGCAGCGTCCCGGGATGTGTATGTGTGTGTGTGTGTGTCACGCGATCCCTTTTTGCGACCATCTGACCAAGTCAGTGGGGAAGCCAGGTTCGCTTAACCCTGTGACCAACGTAACATCTGTCGCGATTCACTTAACAACTCTAGCAAGGAAGGTCGTAGGGTCGGGCCAAACTCACTTAAGGGTCTTGCTTTGCGAGGGGAATTCTGGGCTCAACGGCGGTCGCTAATCGAGCACTCCCCGTACTCTGCCCTGCCCAGCGAGGTTGAATGTCCAGTGCTCAGCAGGGCGGCAGGGAAAGCCGGTGCCCCTGACCCACCCAGGTGTTCTGCTTGCAGGTAAAGGCCGGGAAAGTCCAGGTGCTCCTGCTGTCCCCCGAGGCCCTGGTTGGGGGGGGCCTCTCGAGTGGCAGCTGCCTCCCCCCCGCGGATCAGCTTCCCCCCGTGGCTTTCGCCTGCATCGACGAGGTGCACTGCCTGTCCGAGTGGTCGCACAACTTCCGCCCTTGCTACCTCCGGCTCTGTAAGGTACGGAAGGCGAACGAGCGGGAAATGTGGGTTGGGGTTACAGGGAGGAGGGGGCTCTGGGGTCAAAGACCCCGCGCAATCGGCACCAGTATCCTGAAGAGTCCCCTCTGGAGCTCTGTCGGCTTTCCCCAACCCTTGTCAAATGGAAAGAGAGTGGACTGCAACTCCTAGGATTCTCAGCCGTGGCCCTCCTGGCTGCGGAATTCTGGGAGTTGAAGTCCGCCCTAAAGCTTCCTCTTTCCGGTGTCTGTTCAAGATGGGACAGGGATGAATATTTATATGTTATTTATACGTAAGGGTGTAGGTTTACACATATGTTGTATATAGCACGTCGAAATGGGTGTTCTGTATGCGTACACTTTTGAGAGCAAGCAGCAAAATTTCATTTTTAACGTGTGCCAATGTGCCTACAGTAAAAAAATGTCAATAATTCCATTCCGTTCTGTTCTGTTCCATTCCATTCCATTTTCTATTCTATATTCTATTCTATTATTTTATTTTCTATTCTATTCTATATTCTACTCTATTCTATTTTCTATTCCATTTTCTATTCTATTCTGTTTTTTATTCTATTCTATTTTCTGTTCTATTTTTCATCTATTCTATTCTATATTCTATTCTATTATTTTATTTTCTATTCTATTTCATTTTATTTTCTATTCTATTCTATATTCTACTCCAGACATGTCAAACACAAGGCCCGGGGGCCGGATGCAGCCCACGAAGTGGTTTCCTGTGGTCCGCGAAGCCATCCTGGAAACAGTGAGGGAACGGCCCCTGCTGCCTTGGCCCTGGCCCAGGCCGGCCGGGAGCCAATGTACAATTTTGTGGTGACCATCTATGCTGAAACGCATTCAGTCTTAGCTCCACAAGGCCGTCCGGAAACAGCGAGGAACCAGCCCCTGCCAGGTCGGCCCTTGCCCTCTGGGTGCATGCTGGGGAGGTGTCACCCTTTGTGAGGAATGAAGAAATGGACCATGCCTTGGCGCTTGCCCCGGTCCCACCCCGTTCTGCCAGAGACCCTCAGATCTGTCCCACTCCTGCCCAGCCCCCCCCAGGCCCCCTTGACGGGAACAATGTAGAGCTGGCCACGCCCACCCAGTAGGCCACACCACTCCATCCACACCCACCCAGGAGGCCACACCCACCCTGGTCACCCCCCCCAGGGCAACCGCAATGCTGATGCGGCCCTCAATGAAATTGAGTTTGACACCCCTGTTCTACTCTATTCTATTTTCTATTCTATTCTATTTTTCATCTATTCTATATTCTATTCTGTTCTATTCTTTCCAGATTCTATTCTATTCTATTCTATTCTATTCTATTCTATTCTATTCTATTCTATTCTATTCTATTCTATATTCTATCCTATTCCATTCTATTCTATTCTGTATATTGGTAGTCCTGGACTTACAACAGTTCATTTAGTGAACGTTCAAAGCTACAATGGCACTGAAAAAAAGCAACTTATGACCATTTTCCACACTCACCACTGTTGCACCATTCCCCCTGGTCACGTGATCAAAATTCAGACACTTGGCAGCCCATTTATGACTGTCGCAGTGTCCTGGGATCACCTGATCCCCTTTTGTGACCATCTGACAAGCAAAGTCGGATTCCCTTAACGACCTTGTTACCAATTTAACAACTGCAGCGATTCCCTTAACAACGGTGGCAAGAAACATCGTCAAATGCGGCAAAAGTCACACTTAATAAATGTCTCAATTAATAAATTTGGGGCTCAACTGTCCTAAATCAAGGACTAGCTGTACTTGGAAATTGGGAAGCCTTGTGGAAAGGTTCAGATGACCTCACCGTTCCTTCCCTGGCAGGTTCTTCGGGAACGCTTGGGTGTGCGGTGCTTCTTAGGCCTGACAGCCACCGCCACGGTTTCGACGGCAGGGGACGTGGCCCACCACTTGGGCATCCCGGAGGGCGAAGGGCTGGCTGTGCGGTCTGCTGCGGTTCCTCCGAACTTGTGTCTCTCGGTCTCCACAGACAGAGACAAGGATCAAGTAAGTCTGGAGCACAGCCAGATGTTCCCATATAAGAGAGACTCTTGGTCAGGGGAGTGGGGGGAGAGGGGGGGAGTTCAGAAGCCTTCTTGAAGAACATTGGAGGAAAGCAACGGATGGAAATAAATCAAGGAGAGAAGCAACCTAGAACTAAGGAGAAACTTCCTGACAGTGAGAACAATTAACCAGTGGGACTACTTTGCCTCCAGGAGCTAAAAACAAAAATAAAAAGCATAGGATAATGTGAAAAAGAAAAAGGGTTAAGGTTTGTAGGATGCCATGTGTTTGTGGGCTTAGTATGTACTTTTTGTTGCTTTTTGTTTGTTTAATTCTCTCCTGTGCTGCTTTTCACTTCCTAAAAGGCCCATTAAATTGGTGGCGCACAAGCCGAACAATTAACCAGTGGAATGCTCCAACACTGGAAGTTTTTAAGAAGAGACTGGTCAACCATTTGTCTGGAATGGTATAGGGCAGGGGTAGGCAACCTTGGCTCTTTTATGACTGGTGGACTTCAACTCCCAGAATTCCTGAGCCAGCATGGGGGAACCATAGCCTCCTTGATGCCTCGCGGACTTCAACTCCCAGAATTCCTGAGCCAGCATGGCTCAGCTTGGAAACCTCTCCCTTTCCCCTCAGCATGGCTGGCTCAGGAATTCTGGGAGTTGAAGTCCACGAGTCATAAAAGGATCAAGGTTCCCTTTGCTGGCTCAGGAATTCTGGGAGTTGAAGTCCACGAGTCATAAATGAGCCAAGGTTGCCTACCTCTCGTATAGGGTTTTCTGCCTGAGCAGGGGGTTGGATTAGAAGACCTCTAAGGTCCCTTCCAGCTCTATTATTATTATTATTAGTAGTAGTAGTAGTCGTAGTAGTAGTAGTAGTAGTAATATTATTAGTAATATTATTAATAATATTATTAATATTAATATTATTAATATTATCATCATTGTCATCATCATCATCACCATTATTGCCAGCTGTGTAGTGTTGAGCCTGTCTTCCAGAAACTCACAATAAGATGGAATCTTAAGGTTCCCCCAAAGCTGCTTTTTCAAGCGGCAACTGGACTGTCTTGTTATTCTTTGAAATCTTTTTTCTAAGAAAACAGATCTTCTCTAACAACAGGCTCTGCTTTGCTTTGTACTTCCCAGCCAGAAGTTGCTACACCTTTCGGGTGTTTTTCCAGTATTAGCAGCCAGAGATCTGGAATAGATCTGCCTGGGTTCAGAAATCCACTGCTCTGGGAGAATTTGTTTGGGATCAGTCTGCTAGAATTGAGAGGAAAACCGGGCTGAAAAGGCAAGAAAAAGTCCCCTGGATAGGAAACGTTTTCCTGTTGGGGGTTCTTTTTCTTTCCTCTCTAATGATGCTAGCCCTTTTTTCCCTAAGGTATCCAGGAAAACAGCTCTGAATCTCTGTTGAAAAGCAACCTGTCATGGTTCCGACAGATGAAACTCTTCAAAGAACTTCGAGGCATTGTTTACCTTAAAGAATCTTTATTTGAGTAGCATAACATCGGCACGTACATAGTCCAAGCCAAAATCTGGATTCCCCTCCCCTGAGCACATAGTATTTAGCACAATTCCCTCCCCTAATTAACAGTCATAAATCACATTCTCCAATTAGTTTGAAATGCAGGCTTTCCCTCCAGTTCTCCAACCCGCCATTTCTTATCACCTCTTTAATAATAATAATAATAATAATAATCATAATCATAATAATAATAAAGTTGGCAGGGACCTTGGAGGTCATCTAGTCCAACCCCCTGCTCAGGCAGGAAACCCTCTACCATTTCGGACAAATGGCTGTCCAGTTTCTTCTTAAAAACTTCCAGTGTTGGAGCATTCACCACTTCTGGAGGCAGGTTGTTAATAATAATAATAAAATTGGAAGGGACCTTGGAGGTCATTTAGTCCAACCCCCTGTTCAGGCAGGAAAACCTATACCATTTCGGACAAATGGCTGTCCAGTCTCTTCTTAAAAACTTCCAGTGTTGGAGCATTCACCGCTTCTGAAGGCAGGTTGTTCCCCTGGTTAATTGTTCTCTCAGGAAATTTCTTGCTAATTCCAGGTTGCTTCTCTCCTTGATTAGATTCCATCTGTTGCTTCTTGTCCTGCCTTCAGGTTTCTTTGGAGAATAGCTTGACTTCCTCTTCTTTGGGGCAGCCCTTGAGATACTGGAACACTGCTATCCTGTCCCCCCTCGTCCTTCTCTTCATTAGACTAGACCGACCCAATTCCAGCAACCGTTCCTTGTATGTTTTAGCCTCCAATCCAGCCTCCAATTAGCCTCCAATTTAGCCTCCAATTCCCTCAGCCGTTCCTTATATGCTTTAGCCTCTAATCCCCTAATTTCAAAAAACCTTGGTTCTCACACTAGTTACAATATTGTTATGTCTAACTAAACTCCCATGTGCATTCCTCCTCCTCCCCCCCAGTATCACCTAACTCCAACTCTAATTCTAAGAGTAAAACCTAAGAAGGAAAATGGCTGCATCTCCATCTGTTGCCAAAGCAAGAACATCCGAGGTTCGCAGCGTTGACACTACCGATTCTTGCAGGCTCTCGTAAGTTTGCTGCAAGGGGAGAGGTTTGGAAGCCTGGACTCCATCATCGTGTACTGCACGCGCCGGGAAGAGACGACGCGGATTGCAGCCTTCATCCGCACGTGTCTGCAGGGGGTGAAGCTGAGAGGCCCCCCCTGTGAACCAGAGCAAGAAGCGCAAGACCGTCTCCCTGGAAAAAGGCCAAAAGCCAAAGGTAGTTGTTGAACTGGGGATGATTGGCAGAACTGACCTGGGGAATAGCTGGGTAGTAAGAATAAGAGAAGTGGCAGAAAAGAATTGTTCTTTTTGTCCTCAACTTAGGACCACAATTGACTCCCAACATTTTCGTTGCTAAGCAAGATAATGGTTAAGTGAGTTTGGCCCCATTTTACAATCCTTCTCGCCAGAGTTTTTAAGTGGATCGCTGCCGTTGTTAAGATAGTAACATGGTTGTGAAGTGAATCTGGTTTCCCCACTGACTTTGCTTGTCGGAAGGTCGCAAAAGGGGGGTGTCACATGACTCCAGGACACAGCAACCGTCATAAGTACGAGTCAGTTTCCAAACATCTGAATTTTGACCGAGTATTATAGGGACGCTGCGACCGTTGTCAGTAGGAGTCAGTGGCCAACCGTCTAAATTTTGATCACTTGTCCCCGGGGATGTTGCAATGGTCGTGTGAAAAACGGTGCTGAGTGACTTTTTTAGTGCCGTTGCCACTTTGAACGGTCACTATATGAATTGTCGTAAGTCGAGGACAGCCTTTGCCTAATGCCAAAATTATGTCAGGGTACCAGCCCACTAAGCTTCTCTGAGAGAAGATCCTTCCAGAATTAAAGCATGTCAAGGTAATAATTTAATAGCTAAACAGCTTGTGTAATGATGTCATGTAATGTAAGGTGGATGATGCAATGATAGGAATGACTCAGCAGGGTCTGTGTCTCTTTAAGAGCAAGCAGGGTCTGTATCCCTTTAAGAGCCTGAGTATAAAAGGGAAGGCTTTTTGCTGGAGTCTCTCTCTCTCTCTCTCATCCGTTTCCTGTTGTAACTGCTGTGTATTGGAGTTTGCTGTATTACCACGTGTATGCATTTTGTTCCTAGTCTATATTGTAGATAGTGCAATATAAATCACCATTTAAAATAGACCATTGTTTACTGTATTTACTCCTGGGTTATCTCAGCACGATAAGACTGTGCATGCTCTGACAAAGCACAGCCAAACAGGCATGGGATCTTTCCTTTCTGGAACAAACCAGCTTTTTTTCAGCACTTTTGAATCCTCGAAACAAGTTGTGGTTTACCTGAGTGACGTTTCTCCCAGGCTTGCCGTGAGCCTCACACTTTTGCTCTCCTTTTATTTCCACCTAGCTAAAAAGAGCATCCGCCGCCCTCTGAAGTGGATTGCCGACGCCTACCATGCCGGGTTGTCTGCCCATGAACGCCGGCGGGTGCAGAACAGCTTCATGTCTGGCCAGCTGCGGGTGGTGGTGGCCACGGTGGCCTTTGGGATGGGCTTGGACAAGTCGGACGTGCGCGGGGTTGTGCATTACAACATGCCCAAGAACTTCGAGAGCTACGTGCAGGAGATCGGGCGGGCAGGGCGGGATGGCCAACCCGCCCAGTGTCATCTCTTCCTAAACCCAGAGGTAAAGTATGGTCTGTTCTGGGGGATTTGTTCAGCCTGAAAACCTGCCACAGGTGTGTGCATCACATATTTGAGGAGCTGTCCCCAAGAAGAGAGGGGTCAAGCTATTCTCCAAAGCACCTGAAGGCAGGACAAGAAGCAACAGATGGAAACTGATCAAGGAGAGAAGCAACCTAGAACTAAGGAGAAACTTCCTGACAGTGAGAACAATTAACCAGTGGAACAACCTGCCTCCAGACGTTGTGAATGCTCCAACACTGGAAGTTTTTAAAAGGAAACCTTGCAGGTCAGAATACAGAATAAGAGTTGGAAGGGACCTTGGAGGTCTTCTAGCCCAACCCCTTGCTCAGGCAGGAAACCCTATACCATTTCAGACATATTGCTATTTAATCTCTTCTTAAAAGCCTCCAGTGATGGAGCATTCATAACTTCTGGAGGCAGGTTGTTCCACTGATTGATTGTTCTCACTGTCAGGAAATTTCTTCTTAGCTCCAGGTTCCTTCTCTCCATGATGAGTTCACATCCTTACTTCTTGTCTTGCCCTCTGCCGTTAGTTGACCCTCTCTTCTCTGTGGCAGCCGCTCAAGTACTGGAAGATCTGTTTTCCAAAGCGCCTGAAGGCAGGACAAGAAGCAATGGATAGAAACTCATCAAGGAGAGAAGCAACCTGGAATTAAGGAGAAACTTACTGACAGTGAGGACAATTAAGCAATGGAACAGAAGTTGCCTCTATAAGCTCTGGGTGGTCCATCCCTGGAGGTTTTTAAGAAGAGATTGGACAGTCAGTTGTCTGAAATGGTACAGGGTTTCCTGCTTGAGCAAGGGGCTGGACTAGAAGACCTCCAAGGTCCCTTCCAGCTCTATTATTCTGTATTCTCTCAAAGTTCAGAAGAGAAGGATGAGGGGGGACATGATAGCAGTCTTCCAGTATCTCAGGGGCTGCCCCAAAGAAGAGGGAGTCGAGCTATTCTCCAAAGCACCCAAAGGCAGGACAAGAAGCAATGGATGGAAACTAATCAAGAAGAGATTAAGGGATTAAGGAGAAACTTCCTAAAAGTGAGGACAATTAATTAGTGGAACAACTTGCCTCAAGAAGTTATGAGTACTCCATCACTGGAGATTTTTAAGAAGAGACTGGGTAGACATTTGTCCAGAAATGTATAGTATCTCCTCTCATGAGGATGGGGCTGGACTAGAAGACCTCCAAAGTCCCTTCCAACCCTTACCCTGTTATCCCTTAACATGCTTGCGGAGGAACCTCCAATTCTACATCTTGTGGAATCGAATGCAGGACCCCAAAACCAATAATAGAGGCTCCCTGTAGTATTTATATTGTTAACAGTAGGCCCTGGAAGAGTTCCCTCCCAAAAATAATGCGATAAATAGATTTATGCAGATAAATGGATGCACTTATATGTTTCCGGGAAGGAGGAGAAAATGACAGTCATTCATATGCCTAGGTCAGGGGTAGGCAACCTTGGCTCTTTTATGACTCGTGGACTTCAACTCCCAGAATTCCTGAGCCAGCTGTGCTGGCTCAGGAATTCTGGGAGTTGAAGTCCATGAGTCATAAAAGAGCCAAGGTTGCCTACCCCTGGCCTAGGTAATAAACCATAATAATAATAATAATAATAATAATAATGCCTATTTTTCCACCATTCTTAAAGTGTTTCTTCTCCTCGCCAGGGTGAGGATCTGCATGAGTTGAGGCGCCATATTTACGCAGACACGGTTGACTTCTTCACCATCAAAAGGCTGGTGCAGACGGTTTTCCCACCCTGCAGATGCCGAGAGCTTCACCAGAAGCAGCAGGACCTCAACAAGGTGAGGAAAGAAGAGCCAGCAGGTGTAGGAGAGGACAACTGGTCAGAGACCTCTTTAAAAGCTGTTTCTTAGGAGTACCAGCGTGGTTGAATATCCAGGTAGCCCTCGGTTTACGATCGTAACTGCGCCTGGAATGACAGTCGTAAGTCACGACAGTCATTAAGCAGGTCAGCACACAGGTCCATGGCCAATTTTATGACTTGTTTTGCGGGAAACTGACCAAACTTGCTAAAACAAATGTGGCTGTGTGACTGGGGGGTGCTGCAACTGGTCATCAAGCAGGGACTAATAGATCTCGTGAGTGTAAGAGCTGTGTGATGAAGGGCCACGTTGTTTTCTTGCATTGTTAAATCCCATCTTTTTTCCAAGCGTCCCAAAAATTTTGTGTTATGTGTTCCTGAATCCCAGCGTGGATTTTAGCTGGCTTTCAAAAACATGCATTGTGACCCAAAGGAAAAACGTTAAGAGATCTGATCAGAACGAGACAGCATTGGCTTCTCCTGAGCCCACATCAGAATAATTCCCCTTCTCCTCCTCCTCCTCCTCCTCCTTCACCTTTTTTCTCCTCCCCCCTCCCCCTTTCCTCCTTCCTTCTTTCTTCCTCCTCTTCCTACTTCCTCCTCCTCTTCCTCCCCTTCTTCCATTTCTTCCCCTCCTCGTTCTCCCCTCTCTCTCCCCCTCCCAATTCCTAATCCAATCACATTGTATCCCACCCCCACCAAGTGTTCAATCTCCAAGCAAGATTGAAGAAGCCAACTGTGATATCAGACATTAGCCCAGGGGTAGGCAACCTTGGCTCTTTTATGACTCATGGACTTCAACTCCCAGAATTCCTCAGCCAGCGTGAGGGAACTATGACTCTTTCATGACTTGTGGACTTCAACTCCCAGAATTCCTGAGCCAGCATGGGGGAACTATGGCCCCTTCATGACTTGTGGACTTCAACTCCCAGAATTCCTGAGCCAGCATGGGGGAACTATGGCCCCTTCATGACTTGTGGACTTCAACTCCCAGAATTCCTGAGCCAGCATGGGGGAACTATGGCCCCCTCATGACTCCTGGACTTCAACTCCCAGAATTCCTGAGCCAGCATGGGGAACTATGGCCCCTTCATGACTGGTGGACTTCAACTCCCAGAATCCCTCAGCCAGCATGGANTGTTCCTTTGCTATGCACAGCTCAGCTCAGTGTTTCTCGACTTAGCCCAAGGGTAAGGCAACCTCGGCTCTTTTATGACTCGTGGACTTCAACTCCCAGAATTCCTGAGCCAGCATGGCTCAGCTTGGAATGCTCTCCCTTTCCCCTCAGCATGGCTGGCTCAGGAATTCTGGGAGTTGAAGTCCACCAATCATAAAAGAGCCCAGGTTGCCTACCCCTGCATTAGCCTAACCCTCTGTTCCCAGAGAAAGACACACAAGCCCAGCAGGACTGCCTGACTCTCTGGTCAGCCCACCCCTCAGTGCTGAGGACTTGGGATGAAAACCGCGCTGCCCACCCCATTGCTCTTGAGCATGACCAAACATTCTGACTCCCCAGGGCTGTGAAGTGGAGGATGCGGAGATGCTGACGGCCTTAGAAGGAAGTTCAGAAAAGCCCCTTGACCCAGAACAGGAGCAGTCACGAATATGCTACAAACACGAGAGGGCTGTCCCCATTCAACAGACGGTGGAAGCCCTGGATCTCCGAGAAGAAGGTGAGGGTGGTGGTGATGATGATGGTGATGATGATGATGTTGGAAGGGACCTTGGAGGTCATCTAGTCCAAACCCCTGCTCAATGAGAAAACCCTATACCATCTCAGACAAATGGCTGTCCAGTCTCTTCTGAAAAACTTCCAGTGTTGGAGCATTCACCGCTTCTGGAGGCAGGTGGTTCCACTGGTTAATTGTTCTGACTGTCAGGAAGTTTCTCCTTAGTTCTAGGTTGCTTCTCTCCATGGTTAGTTTCCATCCGTTGCTTCTTGTCCTGCCTTCAGGAGAATAGCTTGACTCCCTCTTCTTTGGGGCAGCCCCTGAGATACTGGAAGACTGCTATCATGTCCCCCCTCGTCCTTCTCTTCGTTAAACTAGACATCCCCAATTCCAGCAACCGTTCCTTATGTGTTTTAGCCTCCAGTCCCCTGATCATCTTTGTTGCTCTTCTCTGCCCTCTTTCTAGAGTCTCAGCATCTTTTCTACATCGCGGTGACCAAAACTGGATGCCGTATTCCAGGTGTGGCCTTACCAAGGCCTTGTAAAGGGGTATTAACATTTCACGTGATATGTGTGTTTTGAGGCACACGTATTTTACACTTTTGAGAGCAGGCAACATAATTTCATTTTTAATGTGTGCCAGTGTGCCCACAGTAAAAAATGACAATAAAGGTTATCATAATAATAGTAGTAGTAGTAGTAGTAGTAGTAGTAGTAGTAGTAGTAGTAGTAGTAGTGAAGTTGGAAGGGACCTTGGAGGTCATCTAGTCCAACCCCCTGGCTCAGGCAGGAAACCCTATACCATTTCAGACAAATAGCTGTCCAGTCTCTTCTTGAAAACCTCCAGTGTTGGAGCATTCACCGCTTCTGGAGGCAGGTGGTTCCACGGGTGAATTGTCTTCTCACTGTCTTATCTTATTTTCATGAATGGAAAAGCAGGGGCAAAACCGTTCTCAAATGGAGACGGCCAGGCGTGTTCTTGCCCGCTTAACCCAAAGTTTTCCTCTTCAGGCATAGAGACGCTTCTGTGTTACCTGGAGCTGCACCCCTGTCGCTGGGTAGAGCTGCTGCACCCCACTTTCTCTTCGTGCCGGGTGTCGTGCTACAGAGGTCCTCAGCAGCTGCGGACGGTGTCCCGAAGGTGAGAAAAGGAAGGAGGGAAAGGATCAGGCCAGTATGGGAGAGCATGTAGGGCAGGGGTCTCCCAACGTGGCCCTTGGGTGACTTGGGGACTTCAACTCCCAGAATTCCTCAGCCGGGATGCTTTAAGACAGGGGTCTTCCAACTTGGCCCTTTTGTGACTTGTGGACTTCAACTCCCAGAATTCCTCAGCCAGGATGCTTTGAGACAGGGGTCTTCCAACTTGGCCCTTGGATGATTCGTGGACTTCAACTCCCAGAATAGAGTTTCCTGCCTGAGCAGGGGGTTGGACTAGAAGACCTCCGAGGTCCCTTCCGACTCTGTTATATTTTATTCTAAATCAGTGGTTCTCAACCTTTTTAATGCCATGACCCCCGAACCGGTCGTAAGTCGAGGACTAAACCAGTCGTAAGTCGAGGACTTTCCCTGCCCGGGAGCACCGCGCATGCGTGGTTCCGCCCCTGCGCCGGCCGAGGCGTAACTGGCAAGCGGCAGAGACGGAGCAGGCCGACCACCAGCTGGCCCAGCTCAAGGGAGGTAAGGCACCCGCCAGAAAAGGGGGGAAAAAATGGCGGACAGCCTTGCTTGGCGACCCCCATGAAATGGTCGATCGACCCCAAATGGGGTCGCGACCCATAGGTTGAGAACCGCTGTTCTAAATGCTGCTGCTTCTTTATTTATTTATTTTATTTTATTTATTTTTTGGATTTATATCCCGCCCTTCTCCCGTAGGACTCAGGGCGGCTGACAATCTATTTAAAATACATACAAAACAATACAAATTTAAAATTAATTAAAAGGAATATTTAAATATTTGTCAAATTTTAAAATATAATTAAAACCCCCCTAAAAATTACCCTAGGCCAGTCCTGCAAGCTGGAATAACAAAGTCTTGAGGGCGCGGCGAAAGGAAGGGAGATCAGGGATAACCCTGATCTCTGGGGGCAGTTCATTCCAGAGGGTGGGAGCTCCCACAGAGAAGGCCCTCCCCCTTGGGGTCGCCAGCCGGCACTGTCTGGCTGACGGCACCCTGAGGAGAC